GTGGGAAGATTCGCATGGCACCGCCGTGGCCCCACAGGGAGCTCCACCGAAAGCCCCAGTTGGAAGGTTCGCATGGCACCGCCGCCACATGTCGGCACACCCCTCACACGTTTCGTGGTCCCATAGGGAGCTCCACCGAAGGCCCCAGTGGGAGGGTTCGCATGGCATCGCGGTCCCATTTCGGCACACCCCATCACACGTTTAGTGGTCCCATAGGGAGCTCCACCGAAAGCCCCAGTGGGAGGGTTCGCACGACACCGCCGCACTATTTCGGCACAACCCTCATACGTTCGGTGGCACAATTGGGAGATCCACGGATGGCCTCAGTGGGAGGCCTCGCATGGCACCGCGGCCCCATTTCAGCACACCCCCACACATATGCTTCGTGGACCCACAGGGAGCTCCACCGAAGGCCCCAGTGGGAAGGTTCGCATGGCACCGCCGCCACATGTCGGCACACCCCTCACACGTTTCGTGGCCCCATGGGGAGCTCCACCGATGGCCCCAGTGGGAGGGTTCGCATTGCACCGCCGCCCCATTTCGGCACACCCCTCACACGTTTCGCGGCCCCATAGGGAGCTCCATCGAAAGCCCCAGTGGGAGGGTTCACATGGCACCGTCGCCCCATTTCGGCACACTCCTCACACGTTTCGTGGCCCCACAGGGAGCTCCACCGATGGCCCCAGTGGGAGGGTTCGCATGGCACCGCCGCCCCAATTCGGCACACCCCTCACATGTTTCGTGACCCCAAAGGGAGCTCCACCTGAAGCCCCAGTGGGAGTCCGCACGGCACCTCCGCGCAATTTCGGCACACCCTTCACCTGCATGGCGGCCCCGCCTCATCTTGCCACACCCTTCACACTCTTCGTGGCCCCATGCGGGGATTCTCCGAATGCGATATTCACAACAACGGACCCCACAACTTTATATGGTTGGGTCCCTCGCCAAGATAATTTCGCTATCCGTCGACGCATGCCGTAGCGGACCTGGAGCTCCAAACATGACCACGCCGTGTCATGCGTAATCGGAAGAAGAGGGAGCAGCGTAGGAGGAGATGCCGGATGAACAGGAGGATGAGCACGAGAAAAAGGAGGATGAGGAAAGAGGAGGAGGAGGAGGAGGAGGAGGAGGAGGAGGAGGAGGAGGAGGAGGAGGACAAGGACGAGCAGCAGCAGCAGGAGCTGGAGTAGAAGGCGCAGGAGGACCAGGGGAAGACAGATCAGGGGAAACGAGGGGACGACAACGATGAAACAGGATTCGGATCCAGAAAAGTGGCCTACGCTGGGGCGCGAGCGCCATTCTGAACAACGGAAGCCAAACACCGATCCGAAAACGAGGCTCACGCTGCAGCGGGAACATCATGTTGCAACACCAAAAACCGGATTGTAGAACAAGCCATAAAAATACAAGAGCTAGTGAAATTCGGTGCCCCTAGACGGCCCAAGCCCCACAAGACAGCCCAAGAACGCCTACGGACGGCCAAAGGGGCCCCCCAGACGGGTCAAAAGAGCCCTAAAAGGACTCTCAAGAAGGCCCGGAGAGGCCTCCTCCTCCTCCTCTTCTTCTTCTTCCTCCTCCTCCTCCTCCTCCTCCCTCCCTCCCTCCCTCCCTCCCTCCCTCCCTCCCTCCCTCCCGCCACGGCCCCAGGGGCTCCCAGAAGGGACCGGCACCCGCGAACGGGACCCCTGGGGCGGCCGGAAAGGTCGATCCGATCGCTCCCTCGCGCCCGCCGCATTCGGCGAGGGGCCCCACATGAATTATATATTAATTACTGACTGGGAGGAGAAGGAGGGGGAGGGCCCGGGGGGAGAGAAGGAGGAGGAGGGGACGGACGCACAGAAGGCGTCCCGGCAAGGGCGGCCCGGCAGGGGAAGGGGAGGGCGGGGGAAGGCAGAGGGGGACGGGGCGCGGCGGCGGGCGTCGTCGTGGTGGTGGTGGTCATGCTGGTGGTGGTCGTGGTGGTCGAGGTGGTCGTCCTGGTGGCGGTCGTCGCGGTGGTCGTGATGGAGGTGGTCGTGGTGGCTGGTAGGCATGGTCGGTCTGCTAGTAGTGGCTGGTAGGTGTGGTCGGTCTGCTGGTGGTGGTCGTAATGGCTGGTAGGGGTGACCCACGCGCGGCGGTGGTGGTGGTGGCCGCAGTGGTTGGTGGTAGCCGCCGCGTTCTGGTCGTTGTCCTGGTCGTAGTGATTGTGTCTGCCGCAGCGGCTGCCGTGCTGGCGCTGGTCGTTGTCGCGGGGGCCATGGGGCTTAGCGCCCGAGCGCACTCAGCAGCATCTCAGCATTTCCCCTTTGGAGGGTCCTGCTGATCTGCCGCCAGAGACCGCCCAGCAGCTCGGAGCGGTCGGCGTCGTCTAACCCGGCTCCGTAACTGCGGACAAAGCTGGCTGCTTCGTCGCTGGGCCGGCCCCCCGTCTCGAAGACAAGAGGGACCAGTTCTCCTCCGTGCGGAGGGTAGCGCTCGCGCTTCTGTTCCACCGCCTGCGCGGCCGCCAGTCCGTCTCTCTCGGCCCAGGCACCCCTGCGTGGAGCGTAGGTTGAGTGTACGCAGGTGATGCTCCAGTCGATGAAGATCTGGCGGCCGCTGGCCGGGTCGCTAGTGGAGAGGTCGAGCACTGCCTGTTGGAGCTCGCCCGTGCGGGGGTGCCGGCGGTCCCAGGCTGGGACGGCCTGCTCCGTGGGCGCCGCGAAGCCAGTGAGTTCCTTGTGCTTCGCGGAGTGCCAGTCGCGGCAACTGTTGTGGCGGTTGTTGCGCGACGCGCCCACCTCGCACTTGACTGCGTGCCAGCCATGCGGGTCGAGGGGCTCGTTGCAGAGGCTTCCGTCCTGGCGGCGGTGCTGGCAGCCAGAGCTAGGCGGGCAGACGGGGATGCCGAGCCGACGCTTGAGATTGCAGCAGAAGTGCGGATCTGGCTGGCGGGGTTCGTCTGGCTGGCGCGGGAGGAGCCAACTGCCAGCGCCAGTGCCTCCGTTTTCCCGCAGGCGCAGGCGGTGGTCCTCGTCGTGCGCCCGCAGCAGATTCCCCCTGTTGGCCGCGGAGGCCGCTCTGGCCCAGTGCCCCTGAAGCTTCGGCTGCGGTTCGGCGGCGCAGCCAATCCAGTCAAAAGGCGCCTGGAGGACGTCGGCCGCCCGGAGCGCCGCCTCCGCCTGGTCGAGCGTCTGTTTCGTCCTCGGGCAGCGGGTCCGGAATTCCTCCAGCGAGTTCGCCCCCAGGCAAGCCATGACGTCGTGAAGCAGGAGGGCCCAGCTGGCGGCGTAGGCGGCGGGCGCCGTCTGGGTGGCTGAGGGGAAAGTACATCCGCCGTCGGAGAGTCGCAGGGTGGCTTGGAGGCGCAGCGGCGCGTCCAGGGGCCCGCCAGCGAGCTGCTCGAGGCAGCCGAAGAGGACGCGGTCGAGCTGCTCTGTCCAATCCCCCTGCAGGTTGGCGCGGAGGTGGTGCGTGACGCACCCTCGAGCGAAAGTCAGGAGGAGAGAGAAGGCGCTCTCAGCCCGCAGGCCCGCCTGTCGCAGCTCTTGCAAGCGGGCAACAGACGCCGCGGCCTTGGCCACGGCCGTTGCTCCGTCTAGCCCAGCGTGGACGGCCACTCGTTCTTCCTCCCCTCCCTCCCCTCTCCGCTCCTGCTCGAGCCAAGGGGCGGTGTTCCCCAGGCAGGTGAGGTTGTCCACCCAGCGCCCCTGTGCGGCGGCAGGCAAGTGGCCGCGCCCTCCGGCAGACCACGCCTGGGTCTTCGTCTGGTTGACTGCAAGTCCGTGCCGCGTTAGGGAGTCGGTGACCACCTGCATGGCTGCGTCCGCGTGTTCTGGCGGGACGAAGACCATGATGTCGTCGAGGTAGCTGAACGCCCTGCAGGAGGTCGAGAGGGCCTGGAGGCGCGTGTAAACATCGTCCAAAGCGTCCGCAATGCCGATGGCAAAGAGCGCTGGCGAGAGCGGGCGCCCCTGGTCCACGCCGCTGGTAGCCCGAATGCGGTGGGCGTCTTCGGCGGGGTCGCCCCGCCAGTAGTGCCGCGTGGTTCCCGTGAGCCAGTGCTGGGTGCACTGGAACAGCCGCGGGGCCCGACGATGCAAGCTGTCCAGGACCATGTCGCGGGGGGCACTGTGAAAGGCGTTAGAGCAGTCGAACGCCAGAGCAACCCCGAGCGGGCAAGCCTCCGACAGGGCTGTGAGGCACTTGTGCACGAGCTCGCACCCCGCCGCGCGCCCGACGGCATATTGGTGGGGGCCGACTGCGCCCTGTATGTCGTCTTTGTAGACATCGCAGGCGGCTCTCGCAGCGAGGCGGCGGAGGACAGAACCGCGCGCAATCGGCCGGAGTGTTCCGTTCCGCTTGCGCTGGGCCAGCAACCGGGCGCCAAGGTTGGCTCGCGTCGCCTCGGGGCTGAGCTCGCCGAGCAGGAAGGCGACCGCGACCCTGGCCACCACTTCCAGAGCGTGGGTGTCGGCAAGCAACGTGCGCCAGTGTTCCAAGCGGCTGCCGTTTGGGCCCGGTCCAGAGCGGCGCGGGCTCTTTGCGAGGCTCTTGACCACGGCCGCGGCCAGGGCAGCGCGAGTGTCGTCGTCTGGCGCTGCTGGCACTTCCAGGAGGCGTTGTTCTGGCTGCTCTGGAAATAGGCCTTGGAGGCCAGCCTGGACGCCAGCCCCCGAGGCCAGCGCACTGGGGCGGAGGGCTCGCTGCGTTGCCTTGCTGACAAGGTGTTCGTCCAGCAGCGTCTCTACCGCCCGCGCGTCCTGGTTCGCCGTCGGGGTGCCATCTCCTCTTCTCGGCCCGCGGCTCGCAGTCGTAATGGATTCGCGCCAGAGACCTCCCCAGTCCCCTTGCTCCGCCATCCGCACGCGCCGCGTGAGGATGCGTGCCGGGCCACCCGAGTTGCGCGCCTTCTGGCCACCGCGGGTCTTCCCAGGTTTGAAGAGCAACACTCCGTCGAAAAACGTGAGCGCCTTCTCCGCCCGGGCCTGCGCGGCGGCGTCGCCAGCAGTCTTCGCGGCAAGGAGCTGTTCGGCCACGTGTCCGCGGAGCTGGGCCAAAGCTGCGCTCACGTTCGTCGGCGCCTGGAGAATCGTGGGGACGTCTTGCTCGAGGGCGGCGTAATCAATTGAATCCCACCGCTCCAAATTCGCAGGCTGGGGCGGCATACTGCTGGAAGGGCCCTCGGGCTCGGGGCCCAGCGCCCCGTCGTCTTTCTCCAGAAGGGGCACGCCCAGCAAAGCGGCCTGGCGGGCAGTGTCGGGATCGGTCCTCGCGCGCTTGGCTCTGCCGTGGTCTGCGACGTACTCTGCCCGCGTGGGCTGGCCAGGGCGGTCACACAGGCCTCGGGCGGCGTTTTGTTGCTCCGGCGAGAGCGCGCCTGTGCCCTGCACCTGGTCGTAGGGCCCCAAACCGCCCTCCACGCAGCCCGGGTGGTAGTAGAGCGGGTTGGCCAAGCCAGGATTGCATGCTCGCAGGTCCCCTTTGGCGAGGGGTTCCGGGCATGTTGGCGCGCGGCAGAGAGCGCCGCGCCTACTCGGCATCACACTGACGGCCCAGGAGGTGGCCCGCAGGTGTCGCCCTCTTGGTGGCGCGGGCTCGGGGTGCGGCTCTGGCGGGGGCGGGGCCGACGCTGCCGCCTCCTCTAGAGGGAAGGCTGGCCAGGAAGCCGCGGCAAGGACGGGCGCGCTGGCCTGAAGCCCCAGCGTGGGGCAGCCTGCCAGGGCGACTGTGGCGCTAAGGACGCGGCAATGCCATGGCGTAGTGTGCGCGCACCTCCAAATAGCCACGAGGCTTCCAGCCCCACAGGCCGCGCGGAGACCTCCCATTCGCACGGCGCTGACGGCCATGACTGGCACTGGGGATCCCGAAGCGACGGCCAGCAAGGACATCATGGGCATGCTCCCGCCTGCGATGGCGCGCCCGGTTGCGGTCAACATCACTGTGGCGAGCGCCTCCGGGCGCAGCGCTTGGAAGAGGCCCCGCAGCATGACCCCGGACGTGAACCGCGTAGCCACGAAGGCTCCGAAGAAGAACTTGTCGAGGTACCCAGGTCCCCGATGATTCAGGTTCACGGCGCGAGGGCCCGGCGATGCTCCACCAGCAGCGCTGGACGTGCTGGCCGCGCCACTGGCGGACGCAGCGCAAGAGCGGAGATAGTGTAGGTAGTAGAGTTCCGCGCTGGAGGTCGCCCGACCGGCTGGGCTAGTGCTGCTTTCTGCCGCGCAGCTGGGACCGCTCGCGGATGTCAGCATCCAAGGGCTGCTGCTCGCTGTCGTGCTGCTCCGGGTCGTGCTGCTCTCAGCCGTGCTGCTGGGACCACTCGCAGATGTCGCCGTCCAAGGGCTGCTGCTCTCTGTCGTGCTGCTCCGGGTCGTGCTGCTCTCTGCCGAGCTGCTGGGACCACTCGCGGATGTCAGCATCCAAGGGCTGCTGCTCTCTGTCGTGCTGCTCCGGGTCGTGCTGCTCTCTGCCGAGCTGCTGGGACCACTCGCGGATGTCACCGTCCAAGGGCTGCTGCTCTCTGCTGTGCTGCTCCGGGTCGCGCAGCTCTCTGCCGTGCTGCTGGAGCCCCTCGCGGATGTCAAAGTCCAAAGGATGCTGCTCTCTGTCGTGCTGCTCCGGGTCGTGCTGCTCTCTGCCGAACTGCTGGAACCACTCGCGGATGTCAACGTCCAAGGGCTGCTGCTCTCTGTGGTGCTGATCCGGGTCGTGCCGCTCCCTGCCGTGCTGCTGGGCCCGCTCTCGGATGTCAACGTCCATGGGCTGCTGCTCTCTGTCGTACTGGTCCAGGTCGTGCTGCTCTCTGCCGAGCTGCTGGGACCACTCGCGGATGTCAGCGTCCAAGGGCTGCTGCACTCTGTCGTGCTGCTCCGGATCGTGCTGCTCTCTGCCGTGCTGTTGGGACCATTCGCGGATGTCGACATACAAGGGCTGCTGCTCTCTGTCGTGCTGCTCCGGGTCGCGCTGCTCTCTGCCGTGCTGCTGGGACCACTCGCGGGTGTTAACGTCCAAGGGCTGCTGCTCTCTGTCGTGCTGCTCCAGTTCGTGCTGCTCACTGCCGTGCTGCTGGGGCCACTCGCGGATGTCAACGTCCAAGGGCTGCTGCTCTCTGTCGGGCTGCTCCGGGTCGTGCTGCTCTCTGCCATGCTGCTGGGACCACTCGCGGATGTCAACGTCCAAGGGCTGCTGCTCTCTGTCGTGCTGCTCCGGGTCGTGTCGTTCGCTGCCGTGCTGCTGGGACCACTCGCGGATGTGAACGTCCATGGGCTGCTGCTCTCTGTCGTGCTGCTGCGGGTCGTGCTGCTCTCTGCCGTGCATCAATGACGTCAATTTCACGGAGCGCCGTGCGCTGGGCGGATCAATGACAACAATTTCACAGATGGAGGGCGGGTCGTTCTCAAAATGTGGCTCTCGCCTTAGCGCGGGGCACACTCGTTGTAAACATTTGCAAGAGTTTCACGGATTGAGGGCGGGTGGTTTTCAACATGTGGCTTTCGCCTTCGCGCCGCGCACATTCGTTTTAGAAATGTGCTGCATGAGTTTCACGGATTGAGGGCGGGTCGTTTCCAAAATGTGACTCTCGCCTTCGCGCCGCGCACATTCGTTGCAGAAATTTGCAAACGATTCATGGATTGAGGGCGGGTCGTTTTCAACATGTGGCTTCGGCTTTAGCGCCGCGCACATTCTTTGTAAACATTTGCAAGAGCTTCAAGGATTGAGGGCGGGTGGTTTTCAAAATGTGACTCTCGCCTTAGCGCCGCGCACATTCGTTGTAAACACTTGCAAAAGTTTCACGGATTGAGGGCGGGCCGTTTTCAAAATGTGTGGCTCTCGCCTTAGCGCCGCGCACACTCGTTGTAAACATTTGCAATAATTTCACGGATTGAGGGCGGTTCCTTTTCAAAACGTGGCTCTCTCCTTGGGGCCTCGTGCATTCGTTTCAACATGTTGCAAGAGTCTCACGGATTCCCATCACCAACGTACCAGAACTTGTGTTTTGGAAGGATTCAGGATTACGCGGGTACAACAATTATGTTGATTCGCGGTGTTGAAGTCCCAGGAATGGCGTCCTGGCACGATTCAGAATTGTCAGGACGCAGCAATCAGGTTGATCCGTGATTTGGAAATCCCGAGAACAATTGTTTTGGCATGCTTCAAGGTCTTCAAACTGTTGTCTTCCAGCGAGGCAGTTCCCTCACTGGACATGAACCGTTGTCGGGGCCTATGAAGAGGGAGCTTGGAGGGAGGGTTCAATCCAACATCGTTGATGACTCGTGGGTTTACACTGGTCCTCCTCCTCCTCCTCGTTTTCCCGGTCCATCGCTTGGAGGTCCAGCTGCGGTAAGCGCAGACTGGACCCAACCTCCCTGAGATCCGACGTTGCAAAAAATTGCAACATCGCAGAAAATCACTCCCGGAGCCCCAGACCCCATCTGCCTGCGCCATTTTTCGAGCTGCATCGATCCATGAGGGTCCCAGGGCCCGAAAAAATGTGAAAACGCCAGGCTCGAAAAAGTTGAGACGCCAGGACTTCAGGGTCTTTTACAGGCTGGCGATGATCCTCCAACAGATCCGATCCGATCCACCGCCCGGTCCTCCTCCTCCTCCTCCTCCTCCTCCTCCCTACTCCTCCCTACTCCTCCCTCCTCCCTCCTCCTTCCTGCCTCCTCCCTCCTCCTCCTCCTCCTCCTCCTCCTCCCTCCTCCTCCTCCTCCTCCTCCCTCTCCTTCCTCCTCCTCCTCCTCCTCCTCCTCCCTCCTCCTCCCTCCTCCTCTCCATCCTCCTCCGCCGGCTCCTCGCCCCCCCGTTTCCCTTCTCCCCGACCTCGGCTGGCCTCCTGCGCCGCGCCGTGCCGTGCCGAGCCGCTCCTCCTCGCACCCTCTGCCCGGCGGGCCCCCCGCAGGCCAATGGCCGCACGCCGCTCGGCTGGTCGCCCTCCTCCTTGCCCTCCTCGTCGCCCTCCTCCTTGCCCTCCTCGTCGCCCTCCTCGTCGCCCTCCTCCTCCTCCTCCTCCTCCTCCTCCTCCTCCTCCTCCTCCTCCTCCTCTCCTTCCTCCTCCTCCTGGCCGACCTCAAATAATTTACGCCTGTGCCACTTGTCGCTCTTCCAGGGTGGCCCTCCTCGCCCTTCTCCTCCCTCGTCGCACGCGGGCTCCAACGCGCGCGCGTCGGGGTGGGTGGGGGGGAGAGTGGGATGAACGCTCTTCCACGCTGGCAGGGAAAATTCCCGCGTCGCTGCCGCTCTCTTCCTGCCTTCCTCTCTCTTCCGCGCTCATCTTCCTGTCTCTTCCTGCTCCTCCTGATCCTGCTCCTGCTCCTCGTCCTCCTCGTATTCCTCCTGGTCGTCTTTGCCCTCCTCCTCTTCTTTCCTCCCCCTCCTCGCTCATCCTTCCTCATTCCTCCGTCCTCCTCCTGCCCTTCCTCCTGCTCCTCCTCCTGTCCCGCTCCTCTTCGTCCTCCTCCTCTTCTCCTCCTCCAACTCGTCCTCCTCTTCCTTCTCCCCCTCCTCTCTCTCCTCGTCCTCCTTTTCCTCCTCCTCCTCGTCCTCGTCCTCGTCCTCGTCCTCCTTCTCCTCTCCGCGCGCGCGTCCACACCGCTGCAGCCCTGGAGTGGCAGGAGCCTTCCCCGACCCCCGCTGGCAGCAAGGAGCGGCCGCTGCGCCGCTGCAGCCCCCAGCCCGCCTTGCGGATGAAGGCGTGGCCGTTCGGGTTGTGCCAGTTGGTCCCCGCCCCTGACTGCCCCACCTTTGGAAACGGCAGAAGAAGCGAACGCGCACTGGCCGCAGTTGCCCTTCGGGCGCGAGTTCGGGCGCCATCATGCTGCGACTGTGCAGCAGAAACCGATGCCGTCTCAATCAAACAGGAACGCGGGCTGGGCCACGACTCCGCCAACGCAGGAGGAGCAGCAGGATATAGAGGGGGAAGGGCACACACACCTGTATATATCGACATCTGTAAAAACATATATGTGTGTGTGTTGTCGGAGGTTTGGGGGGAGATCGCAGTGAAACGGAGACCCCCACCCGGAAATCGGTTTCGGTTTCGTGTTCGTGTCGTGCGTGCGGGCGAGGCGAAGCTGCGCGTGATCCTCCTGTAGCTAGGCCGAAGTAGGAGCGAAAGTCCGTTCCCGTCCGCCGGTGGCTGGGAGGTGTCCCAGTTGGGCCAGGCGGTGTCTCGGGGGTCAATAGGAGCGGAAGTCTGTCCCAGTTGGGCCGGGCGGTGTCCCGGGTGTCCCGGGCCCGGCGCTAAAGCATGTCGCTAATTTCATAATTCATTTTTTTTCGGCGCCTGCGGCGGGCTTTCTTATCCAATCCAGCTTATTTTCTCCAATCCATATTGTCCAATCCAATCCATCTCATCTTATCCAACCCATCCTGTCCCATCTTATCTTATCACACCCAATCCAATCCACCCAGCCCAATCCATCCATTCATTTGTTCCTGCGGGCCAGTCCAATCCATCTTCCATCTTATCTTATCCAACCCATTTCTTCCAATCCAACCCATCTTATCTTATCCAATCCATCTTATCCCATCCAATCCAATCCACCCAACCCAATCCATCAATTCATTTATGTCGGAGCCTGCGGCGGGCTTTCTTATCCAATCCAGCTTGTCTTATCCAATCCATCTTGTCCAATCCAATCCATCTTATCTTGTCCAACCCATCTTGTCCAGTCTTATCTTATCCCACCCAATCCAATCCATCCAGCCCAAGTCAGGCTGGAGGTCAATCAGGGTGACAGGCTGGAGGTCAGTCAGGGTGGGCATTTGATCTCAATCCCCCCCTAAACTCCTTATCGCCGACAGGGCGTTCGCATAGGTATATGTAGGTGTACATGTCTGTCTGCCTGCCAATCTGTTTGTCTGTTTGTACGTATGTATCCATGCATGCATGTATGATTGTATGATATGCATGTATGTATGCATGTATGTATGTATGTATGTATGTATGCAGGTATGTAGACATGCATGCCATGCCCGCATGCATGCATCCATGTACGTATATGTATGTGCATATGACCATGCATATGCATACATATATATATATACATATATGTGTTACGCACGTGTATTCATGAATGTCTGCATGCATACATTTATATACACATGCATGCATACATGGATGTATGCGTGCGTATGTCTATATATATATGTATATATATGTGTGTATACGCCAATGTGTATGTATGCATGCATGCGTACAGGTATGTACACATGTACGTATCTATGCATATATGTGCATGTATGCATG